GAGCAAAATAAGAGTAGGAACTTGCACTTTCACCCTCAGAAGCATAAGGTAACATTATATTAGATGCTTGATGCACAGCAGTAAACAAACAAATAAGCAAACAAGAAGACCCAGTCTCTTAGTTAATCTTCAAATGAGAAAAGCGTAAGTATAGGGTCCTTGGGAGCAGGTAAGAAGGACATAGAATCCAGACTTAAGGAGTCAAGGAGCTGAGCATTTCAGATGGACAGAAACCTGTGGAAAAAGACAGTGTAGGAAGAGGACATGGAGGGCATAGTATAGAAGTCCTGGGAGAGGGTGCTTGCCACGTGTGAGGAACTCTAGCAATGTGAACCGAGGCACGTAGTTGAGTATGAAACTTGAATGAGTGCGGTTGAAGAGCGGGGCAGGGAGAGAAGAGTCAGCTCAAGAAAGAATGGAAGTAAACAGAGAATCAAGAAAACCAAGGGAAGGTGCTGGAGAAGACCATGGGGAAAAAATGAGTATTGTCATAACTCCCCAAAAGATCAATCAGCATGCAGCTTAAGGAGAGAGACTTCTGAACTAGCAATTATGTTGTTCTTGGCAATTTAGAGATCAATTTCATTGGTATGGAAATCTGATTGAGGAGTGACCATGATGTTTTTAGACAAAGGGAAAAAGAGAAGTGCCCTAATGGTTTGAGGGTAAAATAATTGGGAAAAACATTTTAGAGTGGAAACCTAGCACCATGATGGCTCAATGGCGAACTCCTCGCCTTTGAAGTGCTGGGATTCCATATGGGTGCTGGTTTGTGTCCTAGCTGCTCCACTTCTCATCCTACTCTCTACTTGTGGCTTGGGCAAGCAGTGGGGTATGCATGTACATAGGAGTCCTGAGGGAGGCTCCTGGGTTCCGTCTGACTCAGCTCCAGCCATTGCAGTCATTTGGGGAGTGAACCAGCTAATGAGGATCTTTCACTCTCCTTCTCTCCACAAATCTGATCTACCTTTACAATAAAAATAAATAAATCTTTAAAAAATTTAGCTTGGGGGAGGTGTTTCACTTAATTTTATGGTGTGTGGAAGCAACTGTATTTGTAGAGCCATAGATTAAGGGAATGAGGCATTAAGTGATACAGGTTCTGGATGAAATGCAGTCAGGAGCTTGGACAGGTGTATTCCTCGGAGGCGTTAGAGAAACCAAATATTTAGAAGAGAGCTCTTGAGAGGAGATTTGAGGGCATTCACACCAATTGCTTTTCTCAATGAAGTAGGAGATAAAGTCCACTAGAAGTGAATAAACATGAGGATACAATTGGGAGCTTTAAAAAGGATGGCAAGTTCTAAAAATGGGGAAATGAAGTTGATTAGATTAGAAATATATTTTTAAAAGCTTTATAAACTTTTAAATCGCAAGGTTTTAAAAGCAAGCATTTTTAAAAGATTTGTTTTATTTTTATTGTAAAATCAGATATAGAGAGAGGAGGAGAGACAGAGAAGATCTTCCATCCGTAAGTGGCCACAATGTTTGGAGCTGCTGAGCTGATCCAAAACCAAGAGCCAGAACCTCTTCTGGGTCTTCCATCCAGGTGCAGGGTCCCAAAGCTTTGGGCCGTCCTCGACTGCTTCCCAGGCCTCAAGCAAGGAGCTGGATGGGAAGCTGGGATTCTGGGATTAGAACCTGTACCCATATGGGATCCTGGTGCATGCAAGATGAGTACTTTAGTCACTAGGCTACTGCACCGGGCCAACAAACATTTGTTTATAGTGGAGTTAGTCATGATGGTTTTTATTAGGAAAATGAGGAAAGAGTTGAAAAAAATGAATGATTAGGCTGATCCAGAATTAAGCTTTGGTCAAACTGCAGAGAAATTAAGGGTGTTTGTAGGAGTGCAGTTGAGGTAATGAAAGTCTTCTGTCAACTTACATAAGAAATTAAGGAAAATGAGGTGGTGCATGACTTACTGAGAGAATAGGAAGAAGCTACAAATTGTGCTGAAAGAAATGGGATATTTGCTGGGAGACATCCAAGGATGAAGCGTGTGATCAGAGAAAGCAAGTTTGGCTACTCACACAGTCAGTGATAAAGGAAAAAGAAACTAATTCTCAAAATCACAAAGCAGAATATTCCAGAAATAAGTGTACAAGGCAACTGGATACAATCACATTCAGCAGCTTGGTTTTACCATGGCTTTGTGAAAGCATACACTGTGGTGTAGCTATAGTGATGAACTAAGCGAAGAGGGTAGGGAGCGTGTCACAGCAGAAAGCAGCAATCACATAGAAGATGAAGGCAGGATCAGGGCAAACAGAGAAGGGAATAGATTCAGTTGTCTCCCGGAGGCTGACAGTTAATGTCACTGCCAGTCTAGTCACCACCTTAGCTTCTTTCATACTCATCATTATTCTCACTGTTTGAAATCAAAGGGGTTATCTTAATTTATGAGCATTGACATGCATCACATCAAACTCTTTTAAGTGATGGTGTGACTGGCTGGCTGGATGATTTCGACGACTCTGAGTAGTACCGTTAGTCCTTTGGTTGGTTGGACTTCACTTCCCTCCATGCCCTGCAACGTGTTTATTAGCGTCGGCGTCTTCAAGCTACCTCTTCCCTCGGCTTCCGCAGCGTTTCACACTTGGCTCACTCGTATCTCTTTGACTTCCTTAAATGGCTTGGTTATTTCCTCTGACTTTATTAATTGCCAATTCTACTGTGTTTTTATAATCAATGTTGATTGAAATTTACTTACATGCTTACACTTCTCTGTTTTGTAGAACCTTCTTTTGAAGAACCTTCTTTCAATTTTTCATTTATTGTAGGTCTGGTGATAAATTCTGGCTTTATCTGCTGATTTGTGACAGACGTGTTTTTATTTTGAAAGAATATTCTTTCTGGGTATAGAATTACGAGTTGGCAGTGCTTTTTCTTTGATTTTTAAAAGACTTGAGACTGGAAGCTATTTCTAGCCCACTTCTGCTTTCATGGTGTGTTGAGAGCAAAGAAGTGTTTTTAGGGTCTTCCCCACTGACAGGTCCTAAATTATACTCACTGTTTAGTGTTTCAAAACTTTCCTGAGTTCTTCACTTACAGGTAGTTGAGAGGAGTTTGGGTTTTATTCTGTGTGAAAGGATTGAGAGTTTGAGCAGAGTGTACAGGAAAGGATTTTATGTGTTTGCTATAATCAGAGCATTCTGTAAGAAAGCAGCGGAAACTGGGAAGACCAGTTAAGAAGCTATTGAAAAAAATACACAAACAAACAAAAACAGACAAGAGGTCAGTGCCACAAAATTTCATCACTAGCTGCTAAAATAACTTCCCTGACTGTCTCAAATACACCTCATGTCATAGAGCTTTGTGTCTAAAATTTCTATGTTAACGCTGTCACTCTTCAGTTAAGACCCTGCAGAGATTCTCCATCACCTCATTAGGTAAAAAAAAATGCAAATTTTGGGCCTGGTACAACAGCGTAGTGGTTAAAGTCCTCACCTTGCACATGCCAGGATCCCATGTGGGTGCTGGTTCTAATCCCTGTGGCCCTGCTTCCCATCCAGCTCCCTGCTTGTGGCGTGGAGAAGCAGTCGAGGAAGGCCCAAAGCTTTGAGACCCTGCATCTGCGTGGAAGACCTGGAAGAAGCTCCTGGCTCTTGGCTTCAGATAAGATCAGCTCCAGCCCTTGCAGTCACTTGGGGAGTGAATCATTGGACGGAAGATCTTCCTCTCCGTCTCTCCTCCTCTCTGTATATCTACCTTTCCAATAAAAAAAAAAAATCTTAAAAAAAAGAGTAAAAAATGCAAATTTCTTAACAAAGGATAAAACATGATGAACTCTATGGTCTGGTTTTCCTTTCCTTTAAGAGCATGTGCTCTTGTTAGACCTCTTAATCAGCTTCATCTCCGCAGCGCCTAGAGTTTATCCATATATAAAGCCCCACATACCTCACGGAGAGGCTTGTGCTTTCCTACTGCTTGGACCATCTTTCTCATGAAGCCTCCTCCCCTGTCTGACTCCAACTCAGCTTAAAGACTCAGCTTAAGAATTATCTTCTCTCTGGAGAGTTTAGAACCCTGTCTTCCCGCCTTCCAATACATGGGTGCAGGGTCCTAGAAACTTGGACTATCCTCTGCTGCTTTCCCAGGCCACAAACAGGGAGCCGGATCAGAATTGGAGCATCTACGAAGCACTCTATGGAATGTCAGCACTTGCACATGAAGGATTAGCCTGTTGAGCTACTGTGCCAGCCCCACTTCACAACTTCTAAAAGATTATTTTACCTAATATTGATACGAATACATTTCATTTGATTCCAGACCATTGTTAGGCCCAAAGTTTAATTATATGACATGAAATGCAGTTTGAGTTTCTTAGTAAAGCCACATATAGATCTGGTGTGTAAAAAGTCTAAAATAAAAGGTGATTAAATTGTCTCTCAGATATGGGTGTGTATTGGGAGACAGAGCAGATGAATAGAATAGGCATTTCTGATAGATCTGCTTCTCACTTTCTGTGCACTTTCCTTCCTGTTTCTGTCCCACTTCATCGGTGGCTGGATAGTGACATTTTGTGGCAGAAAGGGACGATTCACAGCAGTTCTTAAGAACTCTGCAACTCAGTTGATTAGGGCAGGTGGTCCGTTCGGGCTCAGAGAGTGGAAGACTGAACAGATTTCAGCTGCAGTGTATTCTAGCCTGATTTCCAACAGATCTCGGACCACTTCGGAAAGAACACAAAGGTGTTGGACACATTGTGAACACAAGAGGGGAAAGGAGATTTTTAACTTCAAATCCATCATCCTAATGCCTTGTACATCCTCTGAATTTTAAAATATAAGAAAAAAAAATGACCAAATTACCATAGAAAGAAATAGAAAGGAAAAGGAAATCTTTTAAATAAATACATTGCTTGGTCTTAAGCAGCTTTCCCATCTTTTGACGGAAAACCTACTTGAGTTTGTTTCGGCTCCTCTTACTTGGTTACAGCCTTGCTGGGGATGTTTCCCACTGTGGTCTTCCTAACACTCTCCTCATTTCTCCTTTAGTATCTTTTTGCCACATACATTGCTCCTTCGGCCACTCATGACATAGGACTCCAACAGGACAATAAAAATGAAATCTATATGAAAATACAGCCACCATTTGAAGACCTTTTCGATACAGCAGAGGAATATATCCTCCTACGCCTCCTTGAGCCCTGGACGAAGATGGTAAAATCAGACCAGCTTGCGTATGGGAAGGTATTGTGGCCTTGATTAGTTGTGTGTGAGCCGGTCAGGTAAGGAGTGTAGCTACATCTCATGAGGACTGCAGAAAGCTTCACGTGGACCAGGGCTTTGGAGCTGAGATTTGGACGGGCCAAAAAAACCTGGGCAAGAAAATGGTTTATAAACTTTATTATTTTTTTTTCAGTTTCCTTATTGTCTCATAACAAGACTTAAATCTATGTCATTTTGAATTTCTTGGACAAACGCATCAAAAGAGGAGATGCAAGGTTTGGTTTTCTGTGAAGGTATAAAATATGCCATAATAGACTGGCCTTGTCCCTTGTTGCCTTTCTCAGCCGTCACCCTCATTTTGATTAATGGAAAAAGCCTATCTTATTTTATGCTGGAAGAGTTACCATAAATATTACAGCCATGTGCAATAATAACTTTCTCTGTGCATTGTGAAAAGCAGGTCCTCTGACCTCGGAGCTGCTATTTTAAGGCAGGCAGTCCCAGATGTTCATAGGTCAGACTCCTTGATTGGGTAAAAGTTTCAGCTCATCTCTCTTCATTTCCAAAAGGGATCATTGTAAACCTCAGTGCTTGAATAGTTTTACTGTTCTTATCGATGGACGGAGGAAACATCTTTAAATATTTATTTTGAATCCCAAATTAAAACCATTCTTTGATAATTTTTATATTTGTACATGTACATTGTTCATTAGGTCACATCAAGTGAAACTCTTGCCATCTTTGTCTTGCAATTTTCTATCTACTCAACAACTTTTTAGATACTCATGTCTTTGTCAGGAAGGATAGGTTAGATTAAGATAAACTTAATGCCAAATTAATTGGGATTCGGTTACCATTTTCAATTGTGGCTGGTAACTTTCAGGGTTTATTAAATTCAATGGGGAAAATAATTAAATTTTTATTCTTGTTAGCACAGCAGTCTTTCTATAGCAAAAAACTATATACAAGTAAAATTAGGATATCATAAAAAATTCTCTACAGGCATTATTTTGTTTTATTTTTAAGTGTTTTTCTTTATTTTATTTGAAAGGCAGAGGTACAGAGAGGACAGAATTTTTTTTAAACTTAGCAGTTTATAAGAAAGATTTTACAGAACTTTGTACATTTTAGGGCAATCAAAACAGTCTTGTAACTCTAACAAGCCATATATTAACAGTTGAAGAGCAGAACAGTCTTAGGTGGGTGAGCGGAGAAATCCCAAATAACTTAGCAAGTAGAGGAATAACTGAACTCTAGTGAGGGCGAGGAAGAGCCAAGTCGGGAGCCTGACCAGTAAGGCTAGCTGACCTCTTCTGTCTGTTCAAATCTTTCTATATTATTCTCTCTCAGTCAATCTGAGCTAATTTGGGGATTCCTGAGTGACCCTGATGGTCAGTGCAAGAAAGCTTGAGGAGCCAAAGCTGGAACTAAGTAAGGACCAGAGAAAGCTCCTTTCCTGAGTCCAGAAGGAAATTTACAATTTTTTTTTTTTTTATCCCTGAAGACCACTTAGGGCTCCTGGTTGGTGTTCCATGGACAGAGAGATCTTACATCTTCCTACCTGCAGGATTGGAAGTGGAGCAGCTGGGATTCCAAACCTGGTGCTTATATGGGATGACAGTTCTGTAGGCTTAGCCTAAAATAACAGAGTGCAGGCCCTACGTCTTCTGAGATCAGACGAGATCGGGCGCGTTCAGGGTGCTATGGCCATAGACAGGCCCTACATCTTTATTTTCTTTTCTACAGCCATTATTTTAAATATGTTGTGTATGGCATAGAGAAATGTTTTTTTTTAAGTTTTGGAATTATGACTGATTCTTACCAAAAAAATTATTTATTTGAAAAGTATACAATGAAGAGAGTTAGAGATATAGACAGATATCGGAGAGAGAGAGATCTTGTATCTGCCTCTTCACTTCAACAAGCAGGGTGGGCTAGACCAAAGACACAAACCTGGAGCTCCACCCAGGTCTCCATGTGCATGGTAAGGGCAGCTGTTTGAACTGTCACTTTCTGCTTCCCACAAGGAGCATCAGCAGAGACCTGCATGAGGGGTGACTGCACCAAACCAAAGATTCCTTATTAAGTTCATAGAGGCAAAACATACACTATTGTTTTAAAGATTTATTTATTTTTATTGTAAAGTCAGATATACAGAGAGGAGGAAAGAGAGAGGAATATATTCTGTCTGCTGATTCATTCCCCAGGTGGTCGCAAAGGCCACAGCTGATCTAATCTGAAGCCAGGAGCCTACAGCTTCTTTTGGGTCTCCCACACAGGCAGCGTCCCAAGGCTTTGGACCATCCTTCAGGCCACAAGCAGGGAGCTGGAAGGGAAGTGGAGCAACCAGGATACAAACCAGCTCCCATATGGGATCCCAGTGCGTGCCAGGCAAGGACTTGAGCCACTAGGCTACCACACCAGGCCCAGCATACACTGCTTTTAACAATAAGAAAATAAATCCTTCATTTTTAGTTCTATAAACATCCTGTAATTCAGCCAAAGGATTTTTCTAAAAGCCAATTGACTGGGTTATATAGACTCTGTCCCAAAAAGGATTATCAAAAAGGTAAGCAAAGCTGGCTGTTAAATACTGAAGTTCTTAGGCAGCCACTCAGGCAGCTGACTGTTCTTTGCAGGAGAGAAATGAAAGAGTAGATTTGTTCTCTCAAGTCTACATAGAATCCATCAAATATCCGGAAGACGGAAATCTGCTGGGAGGTTTTAATTTGATCATTGTCTCCTATCTTGTTAAAGCAAGGAAACCTTCAGTTATTTCTCATTCTTTAAATTATTTGCTCTCAAGTGGACTCTGACTTTATGACAGTTATTATGTGGAATAGAAACTGGAAATGTGATCAGCATATGAGTCTTTGCCTGATTTGTTAGTTTACATGAAGTATCCAGAAAGAGGAAATGATCCTTATTACCCCTGTATCATTACAGAGAATGCATTTTTTAATGTATGCTTTTGAAGTATGATTTTGTTGTATCTAACATTTTTAACTATGCTAGTCAACCTGCTTTTGTCTCCAAAATAATTTGCTTTGTTTAAAATTGTATTTGTGTTTTAGCCAACTCATTGGTACATTGTGCATTCCATTTCCCCTGTTTCATAATACACGTTCTATTGATGTTACAATAGATGTATTGTACTGCCTATTGATGTTTATTTTTGTTTTCTTAGGTGGAGTTGAAGGAAGAAACTCGACAATTAGACTCCACTTATTTCAGAAAGTTACAGGCTTTGCACAAGGACACATTTTCCAAAAAAGCTGGGGTAAGATAAGTTTCTATGTAAAACTCATATCCTCAAATATGATCTCACTTTACATATTGATGGAAAGGAGATGATATGACAAAAGATAATATGCCGATAAAAAAGGGGACAGGCAGTTTCATTTTTCTGCTTTTTTGTTTCTTCATGCTGCTTTTGACAGGGAGTGTCACTTTCTATTGATACATTTAACAATAGAGCCAGAAAAGCAAGCAAATGAAGTAGCACAGGGTGCCAAGCTATTCATTTTTCTTAGCTAAGAAAGGAAACTTGAGTGTTGAAGCAAAAATTCAAATGAATACTAGCAGTTAGGTTTTGAATGGCAGAATATACTTACATTTGTGAAACTATCAAATTAAATATGTACATCTACATAAAAATGCCAGTTAACTGACTTACCAAATGTGTAGAATCTATCATTATACACAAATGTATGGAACAGAGACAATGTATGGTCATATTTATTTAAATTATACATGTAGATGTACACAAATATATATATATATACACACATACACATATACGCAAAAAGATATCTAAAAATATACAAAATATTAATGATAGCTCAGAGTAGTGAGGTTTCAGGTGATTTATAAAACTTATTTATTTGAGAGACAGAGAACTCTTATGCACTGGCTCACTGTCAAAATGACTTCAATGGACATGGATAGGCCAGGCTACAGAGCGGAGCTGGGAACACATTCCAGGTCTCCCACATGAGTGGCAGGGATCCACCCACTTGATCTAGCACCTACTGCTTCCCAAGGTTCATTAGCAGAAAGCTAGGATCAGGCGTGGAGCTGTGACTCCAAACCTAAAGTTCTGTTAAGAGATTTGAGTGTCTCAGCTGATGCCTTAGCTACTCGACTAAGCACACACGCATTCAACCACTCAGGTGACTTTTGACTTCCTTGGTTATACTTGCATAGATTTTGTGCTTTTTATAAAATTACTATGTTTAAAACATGTATTTTTATTTGAAAGGCAAATTTTACAGAAAGAGAAGGAGAGAGACAGAGAGAGAGAGAAGAGGAGAGGAGTGGTATTCCATCCACTGGTTTATTCCCTAAATGGCGGAAGTGGCTGGAGCTAAGCCAATCTGAAGCCAAGAGCCAGGAGCCTCTTCCTGGTTTCCCACGTAGGTGCAAGATCCCAGGGTTTGTACCATCCTCTGCTACTTTCCCAGACCACAAGCAAGGAACTAGATCAAAAGTGGAACAGCCAGGAAGGACATGGATCAGTGCCGATATGGGATGCTAGCTCTGCAAGGTGGAGGATTAGCCTTTGGTGCCATAGCTCCAGCCCCATTCTTATAAAATTATTTTGAAAACAATAGTTATTTTAGGGCCCAGCGCGATGGCACAGTGCTTAAGGTCCTTGCTTTGCACGCCCAGGATCCCATATGGCCGCCGGTTCTAATCCCGGCAGCCCCACTTTCCATCCAGCTCCCTACTTGTGGCCCAGGAAAGCAGTCGAAGACAGCCCAAAGCCTTGGGACCCTGCACCTGTGTGGGATACCCAGAAGAAGTTCCTGGATGCTGGCTTCAGATTGGCAAAGCCTTGGCCGTTGCGCTCACTTGGGGAGTGAACCATCGGATGGAAGATCTTCCTCTCTGTCTCTCCTCTCTGTATATCCACCTTTCCAATAAAAATAAAATAAATCTTAAAAAAAAAATAGTTATTTTAGAAAATGCAACCTTCGTGGCAGTTACCGTAATGACATAGAATTTATTTATTTGAGAGACTATTAATTAATATCTTAGGATACGTACAAATACATAAAAATGACAAAATTGTGTTTTAAACTTTGTTCTAAAATTCATAACCCTCTCCATAATCCTTCAAGTAAGAAAAAATAACTCTTAAAATATTGGTAGTTTACTCCATGAGCAGATGCTTTTCAAAACCATGGTAGCAATATAATTAGTTATATAAGGAAAGGCTTTAAGTGTGTGTGTGTGTGTGTGAGTCAGAGAGAGAGAGAGAGAGATTTTATTCCAGCTGTTGAGGCCGTCTGGGGAGTGAACCAGAAGGTGAAAGGTCTGCTTCTCACTTGCTTTCTTTCTGTATCCTTCACTCTCCTCTCGGTTAGTCTTCGTTTTGAGGAAGTAAACAAATGTTAAAAAAAATTTGGGCTGGTGGTGGCTGGTGCTGTGACGCTGTGGGTTATGCTCCTTCTCCCCCTATTTGTGATGACAGCATTCCAAATTTGAGAGGGGGTCATCTGGCATGCGGTACAGTGGATTACACTGATCTTACATAGGCTCCTGTTAGAACTCTGGCTGTTGCAGTTCTGATCCAGCTCCCTGCTAATGGCCTTGGAAAGCAGCAGAAGATGACCCGAATGCCTGGGCTCCCGCCACTCGTGGGAAACATGGAAGGAGATCCTGGTTCCTGTCTTCAGCCTGGCCCTCCCCCCACCTCTGGGGGGCCCTCTGGGGAGAGAATCTGCAATAAAAGAATTCTCTCTTTCCTTCTCTCTCTCTTTATCTCCTCCCCTCTCTGTAACTCTGCCTTTAAATACATACATACATAACTCTTTTAAAATTGGAACGTTTGGGTCCTGGCTGCTCCACTTCCCATCCATCTTTCAGTTAATGTGACTGGGAAAATTTAGATTATCCGGAATAGTTGTTCTCCTGCCACCCATGTGGGACACCTGTTGTTCTTGGGAAAGAAGGGGGGGATGACCCAAGTACTTGGGCCCCTGCAACCATGAGGGAAACCTGGAAGAAGCCCTGGGCTCCTAGCTTTGGCCTGGCTCAGCCCTCATCATTGCGGCCACTTGGGGAATGAGCCAGTGGATGGAAGATCTCTGTCTCCCTCCTATCTCTTCCTCTATAACACTTTCATACCAATAAATCATTTTTTAAAAAAGGACATAGTATCCGACAATATCTTACAGCATTATATAAGCTCATAAAAAATACTGTGCAGGAGAATGTTTTGTGTTCATTATGTGTTGTTAAAACTCAAGCTACAAAATGGCAAATTATTCCATAGTATTATCTTTATTTTAAATTAACTACCTGTGTAATTCTAGAAAAGATTGAAGGATATACAGAAACATTAATTGTAGTTATCTCTGCTGGTGGTAGTCTATATGAAAATTTTCATTTTCATTCTTTTTTTGTACTACAAAACACATTATTTCTATGCTGAGAAAAATTAATAAAACTAATATTTTACAAACAAGTGCTTTGTATGTAGTAAATGTTTGTGAAAAGAAAGGAATGAGTAGAAAGGAAGAAATGGAATTTGATGTCAGTTGGCATCTGAACCACTAGATTCTTCATCTGCTTTTCCTGTTGGATTGTTACATCACCTTGACTTAGCAGTTTCTCTCAAGCATTGTGAGTAGAAGCAGACATTTGGCGCAGTGGTTGAGATGTCTGAGGATACCTTCCCCCCTACTGGAGCACACAGGCTTGCATCTCCGCTCCGTGTCTACTTCCATCTTTCTGGGTGTGCTGATAATGTGTCCCCTGGATTCAGGTATTCGGGTTGAATCCCAAGCTGCTGGCCTGACCCCAGCTGTTACTGGCATCTGGGTAGTGACCCAATGGATGAAGGATGTCTGCCTTTGTCATTGTGTGTGTGCTTCTGAATGTCTTTGAAATGCATAAAAATTAGTAAAAATAAATCAAAAGCAAATGTATGAATAACTTATTGTTATATAAGAGTTTTTAATGAAAAGTATTGTTTCACTAGGACACTGGCAATGAATTGGGAACTGGTACTTTATCACTGTCTGATGTCTCTAAAAGAACAGAATATTGGAATAATGTTCCAGCAGAATACAAACATTTTAACTTTAACACCCTGCTTAACAACAAGCTGGAGTTTGAGCACTTCCGTCAGTTTCTTGAAGCTCATTCTTCAAGGTGAGAAGCCTAGCCATTTTTGAATGCATTTCTCATTTTTCTAAGCTACTAGTTTTTGACTCAAAAACTAGTCATATAGTGACTTGTTGCTAGATTTTTACTCACATTAGTAAAAACTGGTGGATACAATTATATGAATTGTGTATGCATTATTTTTTGTTGGAGTGCATTTTATTGTAGCAACCTCCAAAATATTATTATAAGTTGTTGCACAATATTTGTTCATACTTTTAGCATTGGCTAACTTAAAACACCAGAACACTTTATTTTTTCCCCTTTTTTCTGTTTCTTTTGTGTGTTTCCAGATAGTTGCTATAAATACTATTTCTGGAAAATGTGTCTTTTATATTTCACTAAACCAGTGAAACTATTATAGTGTTTTGTATTTTATTTATTAATGAATATATATAAATGAAATAGTGTAGCTTTGCACTGAATCGTAGCACTTTTTAACTTATCTATCTAATATAAGCTAAGGGTTAGTTGTATTTATTTTTCTTACTTAAAGTTAATAGAAACTGGTTAGACCTATGTAGACTATATACAGATCTCCTCCATCAAGATGAGGATTATTCTAAATTTGACCTGTTGTCAAACGATCATGCCATATGTGGACATTTTCCCATTCTTGAAATTGATGTTATTAGTGTATTATCATTGTGAGATCTCCCTGCCCCTGATCATATTGATAGATGTTTCCCCTCATCTTGGGGGTTTTTGTCTTCGTAGATTCATACGTCTGGCCCAGGATTAGGAATATAACCGAGTCAGCCTAACTGGCCCAGAAACGAATCAGAGACAACATTGAATCATTTGGTTTCATGACCATCCAAGGCAGCTACTTCTCAGTTCTTGAAAACAACAGCTTATGTAGTGTCTAGTAGAATTTAGAGAAATAAAACAGAAAGGCAGTGCTTCGGTTTTGTTTTCCTTTTAGCATGGACCTCATGTGCTGGACAGACATTGAACAGTTCCGAAGAATAACTCACAGTGATCAGAATCAAAGGGAGGCAAAATCCGTATACATCAAAAACAAATACCTTAACAAAAAGTATTTCTTTGGTCCCAAAAGCCCAGCTTCCGTACATCAGCAGAACCAGGTATCAGTGCTTAAATTCATTTTTCATTTTGAAGTATTAAAATTTGAAATATTTCTTTTTGCCAGCAACTTGAAAGTTTTCTTTCTTTCTCTTTGTTTTACCTTCCTGATTTAAATACTTGACATTTGATTTTTTATTTAGGTATTTATAAGTATCTACAAATTAAACTTTAAATTTTACTCAAATAAAGATGTGTTAGTCTTTAAAAAGCAATTTTATTCTAAGAACTTTTTACTTATCCAAGTTTTTGTTATGGACAATGCTCAGAAATTTGTGGGCCTTATCACAGCCTTGTGTTTGACATACTTGAATTAGTTCATTAATTCAGCAATTATGATTGCATTTGATATGCCAGATGCTGTTCTAGATACTGAGGATAAAAAGGAAGGACGAGGTGGACAATGCCTCTGAAGCTTTTGCAGACAGGGAAACAGCCATGCTCAACCAAGAAGCTTAATGTCTCCTCTATTTTTCTCTTAACTGATATTCCTCCAAACACAACTTATTTTTTTTTAAAGATTTTATTTTTATTATTATTTTTATTGGAAAGGCAGATATACAGAGAGGAGAGACAGAGAAGAAGATCTTCCATCCGATGATTCACTCCCCAAGTGAGTGCAATGGCCGATGCTATGCCGATCTGAAGCCAGGAGCCTCTTCCGGGTGCAGGGTCCCAAGGCTTTGGGCCGTCCTCGACTGCCTTCCTGGGCCACAGGCAGGGAGCTGGAAGGGAAGCGGGGCTGCTGGGATTAGAACCGGTGCCCATATGGGATCCCGGGCGTGGAAGGTGAGAACCTTAACCACTTGTGCCACCGCGCCGGGCCCCAAACACAACTTATTTTTAAAACACTGTTAATAATTATATTGTCCCCCAAAATGATTTTCATTGACCAGGAATATATGTTTTATCATTTTGTTGTAGTGAAGTCTTATGGCTGTAATCACCACTTAATAATAACAGTTTAATTAGGGCCCGGCGCGGTGGCGCAAGTGGTTAAAGGTCCTCGCCTTGCACCCCCGGGATCCCATATGGGCGCCTGTTCTAATCCCGGCAGCCCCGCTTCCCTTCCAGCTCCCTGCTTGTGGCCTGGGAAAGCAGTCGAGGACGGCCCAAAGCTTTGGGAACCTGCACCCGCGTGGGAGACCCGGAAGAGGCTCCTGGCTTCGGATCGGCATAGTATCGGCCCGTTGCGCTCACTTGGGGAGTGAATCATCGGACGGAAGATCTTCCTCTCTGTCTCTCCTCTCTGTATATCCGCCTTTCCAATGAAAAAATAATAAAAAATAAATCTTTAAAAAAAAAAAACAGTTTAATTAGATTTACAGCAAAAAAAAAAAAAAAGAGGGGCTGGGATTTATCACTGGGTTGAACATTCATGTAACACTTTTATCTCATAAAGTATATCTTCATTTGTATGCTTTTGAGGAAGTTTGATATTATGTGTTACTTAGTTTGAAGCTTATTAATCCCATATTACTATCTGAAGATCAAATATGCAGCATATGGCTTATTAAAAGTAGCTTAAGGGCGTGGCGGCATGGCCTAGCAGCTAAAGTCCTCACCTTGAACACGCCCAGGATCCCATATGGGCGCCGGTTCTAATCCTGGCAGCTCCACTTCCCATCCAGCTCCCTACTTGTGGCCTGGGAAAGCAGTTGAGGATGGCCCAAGGCTTTGGGACCCTGCACCTGTGTGGGATACCCAGAAGAAGTTCCTGGATCCTGGCTTCGGATTGGCATAGGATCGGCCGTTGCACTCACTTGGGGAATGAATCATCGGACTGAAGATCTTCCTCTCTGTCTCTCCTCCTCTCTGTATATCTGACTTTCCAATAAATAAATAAGTCTTTAAAAAAAAAAAAGGTAGCTTAAAATTTACATCTAAATGACATGTGTTTATCAAATTTGAATTTTAGATTAATGATGGCTTAGCAAGTTACGAAAAAAAAAATCAGTTGTTTGTAAGTACAGCACATTGAATTAAAAACCTAAGGAAGAGTCTGTGAGTCTTTGGGAGTAAGAAAAGAATTACTGAAATTAAGCAACTTTAGACAAGATTGCCTTGCTGTTGGGTCCCTGAGATACGAATCTGGAATTCATTAGCACAAGTGGTTGTGTATCTCAGTAAACACAAGTGTGAGCTAAACACATGGAGAGCATTTGCTCCCTGTTTGGTTTGTGCTGCATCGTGCGAGGTTCCATGGTATCTGATGCTACTGTGCGAATCCTCCAGAGGAGACACAGCATGCAGGGAATGTAAAAGCCACCATCACTATCAAAGTGACACTTGTTCCTACTGCCAAGAACTTTGTTCTTTGACCCTTATGCATGTGCTTTGCTTTTATTATCTACTTGGTTTTCACTTATGGATGTTTGTACCACATTTATTTTTATGATGATCATGTTAGTCCTAACTGCAGGTTGCTGTTTTTAGTAGCAGTATGATTTTTTTCTTAACAAAATTTTTCCTCTCCCACCATTTCCTCCAATATTATCATGGTAGTATAGCCCTTTAGTAACATTTACAAGTTTAGCATTTTGCTCTTCACATGTATGTATCATGACATTGTAGGTATAGGCAAAGGTAGGAAATCTAGCATTATGTTGTCAAGGCATATTTGTTTCATTGGGAATCCTTTTATTGTAAATTATAATTGTCAAAGTAGAGCAAAGAAGAGGGGTTCTTTTGTTTTTATACAAAGTGATTATTTTTAGTAGTATTTCTTAATGTCATCGATCAAAGAAGGACTAAGAAAGTGGTTGTCTAGTGAGCAATCCAGGAATTTTGAGTGATGTCCACGCACAACAGGTAGAGAATAGAACAGTTCCTAGCAGGAAACAGCCATCAGTATCTTGAGGCCAGTTATTCTGCAGAAGGAAGAGTGGGCTGCAAAGAAATGGCATCTTTTAAGTGGTGCTACCTGTTGTTCGAGTTCATGACTATTATCTGTGAAACGGACTCCTCTCTGCCTCCTGGTTTTGGGAGCAGCCTTCTATGGCTGCTAGGACTGTCATCTGCCACCACCAAGATTGTCTCTTAGTTCTTTGGCTGATAAATGTCTCATTTCCCCTCCTTAATAAAATAATGCACTTTTCCACACACGTCATTTTGATTAGAATCTTTAACAATATTAGAATCGTTAACAGACTTCTTTAACAATATTGGATCCAGAAGAGAACTAAGAAAAATAAGAAACTAGTGCCCTCCTGTTTCAGTGAAAGAAACAGAATCAATGGCAGGAAAAATGTCATTGCTGTGGTCAGGCAGGATAAATATCCCTCTCTTGTGTTCTTTTCCATATATCCTACAGAAGCAAAATCACACACAAAAAACTACCATGTAAGCCATGATTCTCCGTTTAATGTCTTCATATGTGAGATAGCTAGAAGATGTTTTGCAGAAAATGAAAATTTTGGCACCTGTCTTGTGTACAGCAAATGGTTTGGAGTGAATTAACAAATTAGTGACTGCTAGTGTTTCTTTAACAAAGCTCATTTCTGTTTCTGTCCTTTTTTTTTTTTTTAAAGATAATGCGTCTAAGTGGTGGCTGGGGGAGGCTTCTCCATGACCAGCTTGATGCATCTGTCTTGGTTGAAATTCAGAAGCATGTCCTGAATAGGCTAGAAAATGTGTGGTTGCCATTGTTTCTTGCAAGTGAGCAGTTTGCTGCACGTCAAAAGATAAAGGTATGTAAGCTGCTATAATCTTTAGATGTAACAATTGGCAGTATCTGTCAAAATTCAACTGTGAATATCTGTTGACTCAGCCTTTGTACTTTGAGGAACAGTAGTTAAAAGCCTCGAGTCAGGAGCCAGCATTTTTAGCATAATGGATTAAATCACTGCTTCCCATACCTGTGTCTACATTGAGGTGCACGTTCAAGTCCCACATGCTCTGCTTCCAGTTCAGCTTCCTGTTCACGTACCTGGGAAGGTAGCAGAAGATAGAACAAATATGTAGATTCCCGCCGCTCATGTGGGAGACCAGGATAGATTTCTGGGTTCCTGGGTTTGGCCTGATCAAGACCTGGCTGTTGCACTCATTGGGGTAGTATAAGCTGATTAATGGAGGATATTTCTCAATCTCTCTGTCTTCATCTTTCTGTCTGTCACTCTTTAAAAACAAAAGCATGGGAGCTGATGATGTGTTATAGCAGTTAAGACTGCATTTGTCTGCAATGCTGGCATCCCATATAAGAGCACTGGTTCTTGTCTTAACTGTTCCACTATCCCTCCACCTTCTGCTAATGCTCCTGTGAAAACAGTGCCCACGTGCTTGGGTATCTGCCCTTCCTACAGTAAACCTGGATGAAGCTCCTGGCTTCTGCCTGGGCCAGCCCTGGCCACTGTGGCCATCCGGGGAGTTTACATTCAGGTGGAAGGTTCATTTGGCATTCCATCTCTCTCTCTCTCTGTTGCTTTTCCTTTAAAAGGTGTAAAATTAACCTTTAATTTTTTTTAAAGAACAGCATGGAGTCAAACTTTTCAAATTTTAGTGTCACCACTGCCACATATTAATTATACCATATATAAGTTTCACAAATTTTCATCATTTAAAAATATTAATAATATTGCTGTTTATTGTGAAAATTGAATGAATGTTTTAATTTCTTGCACACATTGCTCAAATGTTATTTATTAAAAATGGTTGTCATGTTAATATTAAATATTGATACAAAGTACCTATCATATACAAGGACATTCATTATATATAGTATGGGGGAATAAAGAAGTAATTATTCCAAACTATAGAAAACCATGCAGGTTTTCATATAAAAGATTAAAATATAAAGATGAAAGTTCCATATGTACTTATGTAAGATTTTATTTATTGAGCTAAACAAGCAGGATACAGGTCAGTGAATGGAAAATAACCCCGCGATTTATGTCTCTTACAGAGGCGTATCTCCTCCCACGTCTATATCTGTTTGTCCTTCCTTCTCTCCGCTTCTACATCTCTATGTTTGTATTCAAGAAATATAATAGAATCTGCCTCCTGGGAATGGGTGTGGCACATACAAAGGATTTTTTTACATTGTAAAGTGGGTTTGTGGGTTTCCTTTTTAAAATTTTTTACATGAAGGGAATATACTTTAGTAATTCAAATGTCATTAGCATGCCTGAGAACAGGCAGACCCGATCTTTACCAAAATGAGCAAGGGTCAGAAGACATGTAATTTTGGACTCCATTATACAAAGACACATTCCACTCTACTGACCAAGAACTTGAGAAGCTTCCCTTGCTTTGTGTCCAGTGTGTCACAGACTTGGAGGCCTACTTGTCTTGTGAATTTCCTCAGTCTTCTGAACAAGCACTGTATGTGAGGGGAACAGAGGCCAACACAGAACCCTGCATTTGTAGGATGGAGAAGAGCCAACTGGACTTTGGCACAAAGTTCTTGGAAATAAGCTCTGGGAAAACTCAAATTTCCCCATTACCTTTCTTTGGCATAACTCCAGTTCCCTGTCCAAATTCAAGTTAAGAAAAAAAAAAAAAGACAATTGACTCCCTACTATTATTTCCCACATTTCTGGTTATGGTTGCCACAGTCATTTTTATTATACCTTACAGTCATTTCCTCAGCATTCTTTGGGTGGCCAGCAAAATAAACTGGTTTTGGCAACCTTAAGCCACAGGCAAAATGGAAGAGTGAGAATTTATTCTAAAGCTGTGCTGGGGGCATTTCACACCCTTGTCAGGGAAAGAGTTGACACCCAAGCTTTAGGAAAGATGTCTAAGAGAACTCGCAGATCTACTCTTGGTTGTGGATGTTCGATTCTGCCCCAGTGACTCTGGTCCTTGGCTCTCAGGAGCTGTTCTGAAATGGGAACACATGGCCCAGATCTTGCAGGAATAAAGGAAAGAGGTTCCAAATAAGCAGGAACTCCCGAAACACAGCTACCCCCAGCATCCAAGGAGCCCAGGTTCTAGGTCTGTCCTCTACACATAGCAAAATTTGTACATGCTGAAGTCAACTTTGTAAAATGCTCTGGCGTTTGCATATATCCTATTCACATCTTCCCATGTAGGAGTACTTTTAAACCTCTCTAGATTGCTTCTAATACTTAATACCATGTAAGTGCCACATAAAACAACATTAGGCCATATTGCTTAGAGGATAATGACAAGAATAAAGGTCTGTAAGTATTTACAAGAAACGATTTGTTTCCTAAATATTGTTGGTCTACATTTGGTTGAGTGTGCAACTACAGCACCTGAGAATCCTAATGGCTGGCTTTAGTGTATTAGCCTCTGTGTTGACTTGTTTTAGAAGCATACGGCCGCAGAATAACACAAGAATCTATGAAATCATAGCTGTCTGTTGAACTTCGCTTTCCACGTGAGCTAAAGGAGAACTAGCTTTTGAATTTGGGGCAACACAGGCACTAGCTCAGTTTTACAGATAAGGAAACTGAGAATTTGAGTCACTCACCCACACACTCCTGACTATAGAGCTTCCAGTTCTGCGATCTGTCTTCTTTCTCCTTAGCTACACTCTCTCTTATTCATGCTGTTACCTCATTAAAATGTCTTTCTATCTAATTTGCTTGAAAGGTACAGAGAGATAGGGAGAGACACACAGATTTCCCCCTTCCACTGGTTCACCTCACAAATGCGCATATCAGCTGAAATTGGGCCACCTCGACCCCCAGGAGGCCAGCCCAGGATCCAGGGTTCCTCACAGGACAGCAGGGGCCCAGCTGCTTGCAGTACCTACCAGCTGCCTTCGGCCTGGGGTGTGCATTAGCAAGAAGCTGGGGTGGGGAGCAGAGCTGGGGGCCGTCGAATCTCCAGCACTTTGATAGTGGGTGCAAAGGACCCTAACGTGACTGAAAGCACCGTGGCAAGGGCTCGCCCCACCTCATTTTAAAAAGCTATTAAATGAGAAAATGATTTAAACTGTAACCATTATGAATAAGTGGAGTAAAAGATCGCTTTTGCTTTTAGATACAGATGAAAGACATAGCAGAAGAGCTTTTACTACAGAAGCATGAAAGGAAAATTGGGGTCTGGAAGGCAAGTAAATTGTTGTACTCTTCTTTTATAAGCTTCATTGTCAGAATATTATTTTTCTTACTCCTTCTTTTGCCAAAACCTTCTTTTGGCAAAGCACTGCAGACACAGTCTTCTAAACCATAAACTGATTACCAGGTTTTTTTTTTTAATTAGCAAATGAATTGGGTTGAAAGTGTGACTCTATCAGAACTAACTGAGGAAGTATTTGCTCAACCTCGAGGTGCCTGATTGACCTTTATAGATGTGTGTGTGTGTGTGTGTGTGTGTGTGTGTGTGTGTGTGTGTGTGTGTGTGTGTGTTTAACTTGGCTTGTGGTAGGTTTCTTGAGATAAACTGTCTATTCTAGCATAGCATAGTTTATTAAGAGTGGATTATGCAATCAAGAATGAATACCAGAACGAGCAAATTAATCTTCTTACTACATTGTCCCCTTTTTGTAGAGTTTTGGTTTAGCTTCAGTAAAGATTACTGTCACTTAGATGATTATTAAAGTCACACGCATCTGACCCCTCACCTGTAACTGCCTATTTTGCTTCTTACCAAATGTGACCAACATAATCATCTTTAGGAACCTACAAATTCAAGTTTCCATACCCTTCTTCAGGTCATGAAAGAACGTCAAAGCAGAGAGGTGACCCCTGCAAGCTAACCAAAAAAGGTGGAAATGTTTTTGAATGCTGTAGGAGTGTATTTATCTGTTAAAAGGCTCTTGAAAGGAAATATACTTTTCCAGTGTTTGTCTTTTGCTAAACTTTTAATTGATACTAAATAGAATGGGGTTATGTGTTGTTTCTCGTGTACTATTTTCTCCTTAAATGCCAGGTTTTAGTTTAGTTACTAACTTTTACTATCTAAAAAAGTAGATCTTAAAGCATTATTTGTTAAGTGTACTTTAAACAAGCATTCCTTATACATGGTGGATCCTGTTTATTGGGCTGTAACTTTAATGTGTACCATATGTTGAGGGTCTCACTGTCTCATCCCGGGAGTCTGACATGTGCCTAACTAGCGTGGTGATAGACAGCTGTTGGCCTTACCTGGATGGGTAGCATCCCCCTTCACCCCGGGTTGCCGAAGGTTACCTTCCCTTGTTACTTTGCAGCCAGATTCCATCCAGAAAGCCCGTCTGTGTAAAGGGCACAATCAGCTGCTCATTTTTAGATAACGTCTCAATCATTTCCATGAATGATCACATAGGATTTAAGGGATTTATTTTACACATTGTCAAAAATGGATATTTTTCCTATGTTTTAATTATTGTTATCATTCATAAGCCCATCTAAAATATTGCTTTTGAATGATGCTTGTTTGCATGATGGTATATAAAGTCAGCAGTAAGGGAGCCCTTAATAAAATTAAAATGTATTCAGTAACTTCAGAAAAATTCATTTCTTGTGTTTTTTTAATCTTAAGAGGCTACAAGGGGTTGTATGTGTGATTGTAAGTATTCAAAGTAAAAAAAAGTGAATATATTTTATTTTAAAATCATGAAAATATAAAGTAAGCCTAAAATATCTTTAGGTATTGTTAAAGTGCCTTGGGTGCTACTTATTTTTGTGTTATGTTAAGTAAATCCTCAGAGGAGTCTTTATTATTTTTAACTTTGTTAATTTTTAGTATTTAAAAAATCAGATTTTGTTAAATTAACCACTTAATGTCTCACATGAAAATCTTTCTAGGATATAACTATAGTGAAGCCCTAAATAAATAAAGTAAATTTTAATCTAAAATTATTTTTTAAAGATTTGTCTTTTTATTGGAAAGTCAGATATACAGAGAGGAGGAGAGACAGAAAGAAAGGCCTTCCATCTGCTGATTCACTCCCCAAGTAACCCAAATGGCCAGAGCTGAACTGATCCAAAGCCAGGAGCCTGGAGCCTCTTCCAGGACTCCCACATTGGTGCAGGGTCGCAAGGCTTTGGGCTGTCCTCTACTGCTTTCCCAGGCCACAAGCAGGGAGCTGGATGGGAAGCAGGATTGCTGAGATTAGAACCAGTGCCCATATCGAATCCTGGCCTATGCAAGGTGAGGACTTTAGCCACTAGGCCATGGTGCTGGGCCCTCTAAAATTATTTACATCATAGAATTAGATTATTTTTTTTTTTTGTCTGAGAAACTGCTTTTACTTTTTAAAGGGCAGGAGAGTTAAATATATAAAATATATAATAATACAAAATACATATTTTATACTTTCCATGTTTAAAATAATATAAAATCTGATCATGACATTATAATCCCTATGTTCAGGTTAAGCAGACAACTTGTTCTGTACACTAAGAAGTAGTCTTTCTCACAAATCACTACAAACTGTAGTGACTGTTAACCTTCTTATGTAATGCATTGATTTGTTATGAATTGACTAGTCATTTCTTTTTCTCTCTACTTTTATTTCTAAAAAAATGATGCCATAAAAATGAAAGAGAAAAGGAGGATAAATACAGTAGGGAAAGTTACCAAAATCTGTTGTATCCATCCCCCAAATTCCAATAGCTAAAGCTAATGATGATGGAAAATGGCAATTTTTAGTCCTCAGTGAGTGACTTTATTATTTTTTGTAACAGCATTTATTATTATTATTATTATTTTATGACACAGTTCCCTAGGCCCTGGGATTTCCCTTACCCACTCCCCAAGATGAGTGGCTTTATTATTACTTGTTAGAGCATACTGAGGGCATGTGTTCTCTGTCTTGGATAGCCCGTGGAGAGCAAGTGGATATCCTCATCTTGTGAAATCATTGCTTTCCGTAAAGCATTATTGAATCCAGTGACTGCAAAGCAATTTCAACATTTTGTGGCTCTGAAAGGAGACTTATTGGAAAATGGGGTACTTTTTTGGCAAGAAGTACAAAAATTTAAGGTACTGTATTAAAGCTGGGGGAAATCACCTCTTGATTTGAAAAGGAAATGCATTAAACAATATTAATCCTTAACTATACATTTATGAGTAAGATTTGTATAAGAAATTCCAGTATTGCATCCTTCTTCCTACCATGCACATTGTGCAGTGTTTAGATGTATTTAATATTTAAGGGAAGAATTTGAAAGATATTTGGTATATACCTATAACCAATATTGTATAAGAGTTCTTGTCAGTCATGTTTATAGTAGTAGTAATCAAAGATATTAGATTTTTATATAAATAAACCAACAGATTGAGAAAGATTATTTGGGAGATACTTTAAAACTTACATGTGTATTTTCATTTTCTATGAAAGGCAGAAAGACAGAGATCTTCCATCTGTTGGTTCACTTCCCAAATGTGTATGACAACATGAGCTGGGCCATTCTGAAGCCAGGAGCCTAGAAATCAAACCACGTTTCCCATAGGGATGCTAGGGATCCAAGTCCTGGAGCCTTCTGTCTCCCAGGCTGCAACTTGGCAAAGAGCTGGAATCGAAAACAAGGTTGGGAGTTATATATAATCAGTCCCTACTTGGATGGTTGTTTCTCATTCAAAGCTGCCCTTAAGCTCCATTTGAATATCTTTTCCACAAAATCACACAAAGGACTTAAAGTATTTGTTAGCTATATCGGCAAAATATGCTGTGCAACTGAAGTATATGCTATCGGAGTCTATTTACTCATCCAACAAGCATTTATGGAATAGCTGAAGGTCCAGGCTTTATGCTGGAATCAAACTGTGAATACAGCACATTGCCCTTCCTCGGGAAGGAAGGCATTCAGGAAAACAAATGTTGTGCGGTAACATTCATTCTGATTCCAGGGCCAACTAGGTGTAGTTTTTGCAGAGTGGGGAATCATAGAATCATAGGGGTGGGATTAACAGAAGGCCGAGGAGGCCTCAGCCGAAGTGGTGCTATCTGCTCTACATGTGAGTTTGCCACATGTGAGTACTTTATAGGTATGGAATGACTTCTGGGGTCTTACATGGGTTGGGCCACTGCACTCACACATTAATAAGGGAGATGAGACCAGGTGAATTAGAGAGGGGAGATTGGAGGGAATGCCTGACCAGTGGCCCCAACTGTGTGGGAGACCTTGGCTAGGAGAGGCAGCATTGCCCACCACCTGCCAGTACATAGGCCCTGTTATCCACCAGTGAGTGTCAGGACAGGGGATGACCAACCAAAACATGAAGAACCAGGTTTGGGGACAGATTCTGTAGTGAATTTGTGGGTTTACCCCTGTGATTCTGCAGTATCCACTGGTGTGTGTGACAGCTGGGGATGTTAATGGGCTGAGATAGACATTACCACCAATTTACTGATATGGAACTGGGGTTTGGCAGCAGGCCAGGCTGACCCAGACTGCAGCACCCACAGGCACACCCAAGAATTGGGTGCAGGGATGGGCTGGACTGCAGTACCTACCAGCACATGCAAAGGTCAGGACTTGGGGTGGACTGTGCTGGGCAGGGGACTAGTACCCACCAGCATGCTTGAGATCTGGTTCTGGGAGTAGGCCTGGTGGGGGAACTTGGGAACTCTCCTATTGGGAGATTATGTAGCTCCAATTGGTGAGCATGAGAGCCAAGTCTTGGAGTGGGCCGAGCTGGGCAAGGCAACAGCAGCTGTCAGCATGTGTGTGTGCTGGACATAGGTTAGGCTGAGCTAAGGTGCAGAACCCATGGATGTAAATGACAGCTGGATAGGATACAGAATGGAATGGACCCATTCTGGGTTGGGTCTCCCCAACTAGGCTGAAATTCCTGCTGGTATGTGTGAGTGCTGGGTTTGTGGTGGGCTGGGTGGACTAGGCTGCAGTGCCCATCAGTTTGTGTGGGAGATGGGACCAGGGGTGGAACTGACCAGGCAACTGCATTCACCAGTATGTGTATAGATTGATGCAGGTGATAGACTGAACCGGACCCCATACTAGCTGGAACACACATGAATCAGTTCTGGAGTCACCCAGTGAAGTTTCTTTGGGGACTGCCCAGCCAGACCACTGGACTCAAACTCTGGCCACAGGGAAAATCACTAAAATATGTGGTCTGATCTTAGAGTGCATGTACTGGGACTGGTCCTCCTCAGTTGCTGATGCCTGTGCATGCTTGGATACACATGGGGATGTGACAAGCAGCTCATCTAGGACAGCAGAGTATGTCGAGTGCCTCATCAGAGCATGGAGGGCAGAACAGGTTGGACTACACTCCTGGCTAGGCTTGCAGCAGGAGTCTGGGAGATGGACTTTAACAACCAATAGACCTTGGAAAGATTTTCTTAGCCTTGGAGGAATGAAACCAACAGTGTTTCAGAACTATCACAACTACTGAAGTAATAACCTCAGAACATTCTTCTCCACATCAGGATCTCTGAAATGATGTCAAATGACCATCCCCCATCCTTAAATGCTGGTGTAGTTTGGCAGCAAGGAGCAGCCCCTTTCCTTTGCTCCCACCCCAATCCCACAGATACAGAAGAAAAAGAAAAAAAGTAAAGACATTTATCCCGCCCTCCTTCCTCCATGCTTTGACCCTCCTTACTCAAGTTGGTGACTCACGTGAGTGTGTCTCTTTCTTAATTATGTAGACAACATTAAAAATAAGGTAAAATAAAATATAATAAAAAAAAGTTTCCAAATTTGTTTGCTTTCCAGTTATTTATTTTTTTTAAAGATTTATTTTTATTATTTTTTATTGGAAAGGTGGATATACAGAGAGGAGATACAGAGAGGAAGATCTTCCATCCGATGATTCACTCCCCAAGTGAGCCGCAACGGGTCGATACTATGCCGATCCGAAGCCAGGAGCCTCTTCCGGGTCTCCCACGCGGGTGCAGGTTCCCAAAGCTTTGGGCCGTCCTCGGCTGCTTTCCCAGGCCACAGGCAGGGAGCTGGAAGGGAAGCGGGGCTGCCGGGATTAGAACCGGCGCCCATATGGGATCCCGGGCGTGCAAGGCGAGGACTTAACCACTTGCGCCACCGCGCCGGGCCCAGCTTTCCAGTTATTTATAAAGCAATTTCTTTAATAGATACCATAATTCAAGCCAAGTTACCTCTTGGTTTCCCAAAATAAAAAAACAATATTTATTTATCAAAATAAATAAAGAAAATGATAATTCTACATCTGTGACTGTAAATCTGGATTATTTTCATGCATATCATTATTTTTTATCCAAGAACTCTATCTTTGCTACTAAAACTTGTAGTACAAACACTAAAAGCAAGCAGAATAAACCATGTGAAGGGGGATGCAGAGGTCACGGTCAAGAAGGCAAAAGTGGGCCCGGCTGCATGGCCTAGTGGCTAAAGTGCTCGCCTTGAATGCTCAGGGATCCCATATGGGCGCCGGTTCTAATCCTGGCAGCTCCACTTCCCATCCAGCTCCCTGCTTGTGACCTGGGAAGGCCATTGAGGATCCTGAAAGCCTTGGGACCCTGCACCTGCATGGGAGACCAAAAAGAAGTTCCTGTTTCCCGGCTTCGGATTGGCACAGCACTGGCTGTTGCAGTCACTTGGGGAGTGAATCATCGGACGGAAGATCTTCCTCTCTCTCTCTGTCTCTCCTCCTCTCTGTATATCTGACTCTGTAATAAAAATAAAATCTTTAAAAAAAAAAAAAAAGAAGAAGAAGAAAGCAAAAGTACACAGCAGCGGCACAAACTGAACAACTGGCTAGCACCTGACTCAGTTTATGTCATTTTAAACTCTTCCAAAACTAGTCATTCTTTCACAAAAGCAGCCATCAAAGTGGAGCAGAGTCACCAGTGTATACTCATTTTTAAGTTTTATTTATAAAAAGAATGCTGTGGTGGGATACCTGAAATAGTATAGAGGTTAAAGCATACATAGTGACACATCTGTTCACCACCAACATGCCCACTTACACTGCCTGCCTTTCTGAACTTAAATCAACTTGCTGTTAGAACTTATGTGTGGACAAGAAAACCTCGGCATCTACCCATAGGCTGACCCTTGGTACAACTCTGTCATACCGTTTATTAACCCTCTTGAATTGGAGTAACACGTTTTCACATGTTTTCTTCAGGGGAGATTGAATCTTTTAGGGCACGGACTATGTCTTGAGGCTCTGCTCAGTGTCTGGCACATAGCGGGCGCTCAGTGTATGACTAAGTTGAGTCTAGGTTGATGCTGAAGAAATTCCTTTGCATAGGGGAACCGTTGGGCAGGTTTAAGTAGTCTGTTTACATAGGACACATGTATCAAAGTCTTAGATTTCTTAAATCCAAGAGAAAGGAAAGCTGTGCTTTTTTTTTTTTACATATCCTTATCAAAGCCTTATCATGACCTGAAGTTAAGATGTGTATATTAATGAAAATACATGTTAAGACTATTCAGTAAATTCTTCTAATAATGTATTGACCATGTATAATTCTCGTTCCTCCTGCCCATTTAGGATTTGTGCCATTCTCACTGTGATGAGTCCATGATCCAAAAGAAGATCACAACTATAATCAACTGCTTCATTAATTCCAGTATTCCTCCAGCTTTACAAATTGACATCCCAGTAGAGCAAGCCCAGAAGATTATTGAACACAGGAAGGAGTTGGGACCATATGTATTTAGAGAGGCCCAGGTAAGAGATTATATCATATGGCTTGGCATCTTTTAAAATAGATTCACAATTTAGATAACCTTTCAAAGCTTTTGCATTATTTATATTTGGCAAAATTTCAGTAGTATCAATGCTGAGATTTTTTTTATTTAATATAACCAATCTTGGCAGGTCACTGAAATATGAGAAAACTAGTAATCTGTGTGCTGTTTTGTTCATGACAGTATACAGCAAATATGTTCTACACTTTGGCTTTACGTGGTTGCCATTTTTGTTTTTTAACCTACAAAACTCCAACTAATTTCTTCTTCCTTTCTTACCATTCACATTTCCCTTTTAAAATCTGCTACCACAAAAATGTGTAAACCATGCATGTTCTAAGATTTGTCTATTTTCAAAGATTGGATATTCACATAGCTCATAAAATAAGTGAGAGGAAATTTAACTACCCAACCAACATAAAGTACACAAACTCATGAAAGGAAAGGCATGCCTATTAGTCCGCTCAAGTTACTTCTTTCTAGGATAAATAATAGAAAACATTGACTTGGTGAACATAATTTATTTGCATTTTGAAAAGCCTTTTAGTGATGTTGTTCCTAAAAAATGATTAAGAAAAATAAATTATAATGGGGTAATAAGGAAGGCCTTGTCATAAATTAAGTGACATGAAACAGAGATTGAGAGTATGATTGCCCTTAGGCATGGAAAAAGACCATCATTCCTCAACATTCGTTCATGAGCCAGCTGTGTTCTAAGTCCTCTGTGGAACAGAAAGTGGACTCACATTCCAAATTATACATTTAAAGGGGCAAAAATACAGAGGAGTAATTGAGGATGTGCTAGAGAGTGAATGCGGTGCCAGAATTGAAGCATCTATTAATGAAAAGATCTCAGAGCTCACTTAGCCTAGCCAAAGTCTGCTGATAAATGAGACCAGAGCTTGCCCAATTCTATCAAAGAACTTGAGCCCAAAAGTAAAATATCAGCAGCTGCTGATACGGGTTGGTCCCTGTTTAATTGCCAGGGGTTGCAACCAGTGAGTTTCATTGGAATCCTCTAAAATCTCTACCTGATTTCCTAAAACAGAGACCTAGATATGTCTTAAATGTGGGCTATGGAGTATCTGACACTTGAGAATTTTTATTTGGGCCTTCACACCCCACATGTGTTTTTTTTTTTTTTTCTCTTACTTGCTAAGGAAGCTGAGAGCATGGTATCCCTTCCTACTCAGGTATACAGACCGAAGATCTGATTGGCATTTTTAGGTCTTCCCTCTCCTTACCCTTATCTAGCCAGTCATCAAAACTTACCCACTTGTCTCTTTGTTACCTTTCTACTCATTTTTGCCCAACTCCTCACCCTGAACTCCCTTCAGATCTACAGTATATCACATTCATTTACAGAACTTCTTGTGTCTGTTCACTGTCCCCCAACCATCCAGCTCACTGAAGACAGTCTTTTTAAAAAATTGTATAACTGATTGTGTCAGTAAAATTGACATAATGTTCCATTTGCCCCCACTTCCCTCAGAGTGAAATCTACCTACGCATGTTGGAGGTTATATAGATGGCTTTTACTGTTTTCCCTCTTGAACTTCTGCAAGAATGACTTTTCTCCTTTACATTTGTCACTGACCCAGCACTTCATCACACTAGATTAATGGTGATTCCTCTAGTTTTTAACTTTCACGCTGGACTGGAGGATGATTGAGGGCAGAGAATGTTTCTTGGTTATCGTTGTGATTCAAATGCCTGGCGCCAAGTGAGTACTTTAGAAACACATGAATGATGAGAAGAGCACTGTCCTGGCAGAACAGTACCGTTAGACTGCAAGACGACAGCGAGCTTGAGCAGAAGGGCTGGACCGCAGAAAGCTCAGGTTAGGAAAGTCTCTAGCTGAAGGCAGTAGAGCCTTCTTTCCTAGCCAGCTCTGCTCAGAAAGGCAAATGGCTTGACTTGGAAAGCCCACTGACTTCTAGGAAATGCAGCTTAGCTCACAGAAACCCTCTAGACCGTAGCTCCCATGCAGTAGACGGGCTCTGTGTTCTGCCTGCCGCTCCCTTGCAGCCTCCTCAGAACATCTGGCCCAAATGCTCTGGTGAACTGATTCACCACCCAAAGGGCCAGTCCAAATCAGAAACTCACAACAACTAATAGAATCTGAAAAACTACTGCGTTAGCATTGTTGCCAGCATAGCCTCTGCCTGTCCCTCTAAACCAACTCCCAATGGCCTAAAAGTTCTCATGCCTAAACAAAATTTTCATTGGTCCCCTCTAATTATCCTAATCCTGTCTACCCCAGCAGTAACTCTCTATAAATATTTAAGTATTTTCTTACCCACAGTTTGGTTACTCTTTAAGGTTTCAGAGGTGTGGTGTAATTTTGATAAATGATAGATATCAACCCAGAGTCTCAATTGTAAGTTTCAGGAACAGAGCAGTTTTATGCTTTCCACTATTGTGTTGTGATCAGGTGATTTACTAAGTACTAGGGTCAATAGTTGGTGGAGTATCTAAGTTTAGGAAGTCCAAAATAAAATCTGCCATAATCCCCTAACACAGGTAAGGAGATTACTTAATTAAATGAACAGCAGTAAGTATAAATGAAAATTTCTTAAATGCCTGTATTTCTAAACACTAGATTTTACCGTCATACTCCTTATAGAATTTTTGACTCGACTGTATTTTAGAAAAACATAAGTAGGTTTAGAATTACTAATAACATTCATGTTTGAAAAGAAGAATAATGAAATATGGCTCATTCTGGACTTTGTTGTTCAGAAATTCCTTTTTGCCCTCCTCAAGTGTTGGCTTGGAGCCTAATGGGATGGTTCCTTTTTCTCCAGGGCATTAGGTAAAGGTCATTCCTAGCACTAAGATGTTTGACTTGATCTGATGTGGCAAGTCTTACCTTCTTGGAAGTAATGTAGAATTCTGGAACTAATGGAAAAACTTGGCAAGAGAATTAGAGTCACTATTCTTATCTATATAAATATCACAATTAATCACTTAATGTAAAGTGTCCTCATAGAAAGCATTAGTCCAGGACACCACTCTGGTTTTTAAAATGTTACTTTTCTTGCTCTCACATAAAAGGAGATTATATCATTTAAAAGTTACTTGAGATTTATTCTTAAATCTACAACTTTGTTTAAGAGCTTTTCCAGAGGCAAAATGGTATTTCCTTTCTCTAAAAGAAAGAAGAGAAACAGAAAGAGAGAGAGAGAGAGAGAGAGTGTGTGTGTGCATGTGTGTGTATGTATGTATGTGTTTGTTGTGGGAAGACGGGATCCTTGTGAATATTTGAAATACTTGCATAAAACAGCGGAGTGTGTGGCAGATCAACTAGTATATGTTTTAAAAGAAAACATAAATTTCTTTTTAAAAAGACCTAATGGATTCTTTATTAATACAATCAATTGGTTAGGGAAACATAAAGAATAAAGTGACTTTTAAGTGTATTTAGTGTATTTTTTTAAAAAAGAGAGTTTTCTCTTTGGTAATAAAAAACATTGATGATAAGCATATGCTGAGCTTAACTGTACCAAGAAGTCTGGAGACAATAAGTTAGAGGAAGCATGGTGTATATTAAAGATAGAATAGTTAATCCATTATTATGGTGAATTAGAGTTTAAATCGGTACATTTGTATAAAATTGTAATTTGAGACATACTTTGCTTTTTATACAGATGACGATTTTTGGAGTTCTGTTTAAATTTTGGCCTCAGTTCTGTGAGTTTAGGAAGAACTTAACTGATGAAAAAATTATGAGTGTTTTAGAGAGAAGACAAGAGTATAATAAGCAGAAAAAGAAAGTGTCAGCTACAGAAGATGAAAAATCTGGAAAGGTAAGACAATAGTCAATTTGGGTTTAATCCAGCTTTTAAAAACTATGGGATATGTGTGAATTTTATGGAAAATTATGAGCTGGGAAAATAGAGGTTATGGAATTCAGCTTTCAGTGGGTTTCAAGCCTTTACCTAAAAGCTTGTTTTTGAATTCTTCAGAATACGTGTCTTATAGCTGAAGACTTCTTTGTTACCTGTAGGCAGTACAAATGGCTTCTATCCACTGCAGTCCTCTTTCTTGCAGAACATACTGTGTATCATCCTGTAGTTAAGTTTTTCCATGTGTTATTTTGACTGGACTGAGTTCCTAAAAGCTAGTATATGCCATAGTCATCCCTATTTCTTCAGCACTGTCAGCCAGCTTGTACTCAACTACTAATCATCGTTTATTGGATAAATCGGGATGAACGAATGAACCAATACAACATCCTAAGTATATTCTATTACCCACCCATGCTCCTGTCTTTCTGCACAGTGTTCTGTCTCTTTTAATTTAAAAGGGGTAAATACTTCCAAGGAAATTATTTCATCTGATTTTATAGTCTACACCTATTCTATTTTTTTTAAAAAAAGAAATTTAAAAGATAAAAAGGTGACAATCATTCATTTGCACAGTGAAAAGAAATACTTAATATACTGTTTCATTTGTTTCTTTTCTTAAATAAGATATAGCAAATAGAATAAAACTTTTAACTTCAGTCCCCCGTTCTATATAATTCCCATACTTATGAGCAACTGTGAAGTTTGAGAGAGATCTTTCCAGCTTTGTTTTGAAAACCAATAGTCACACTCATATTGAATGTTTTAGTAATTCATACATTGAAAGCACCACACTCAATTGAGTTAGTTTGCCCATATCTAACATCTCTTTATCTGAAAGATTTATTCCCATGTTCACTAAAATTACCATTAGGGTTAACACATTGTTTTTCAATGTTTACATTTCTGGTGGTATAGCCATTATTTATTCATTGTGATTGTTGAGCTGGAACATTTTAAGACACTGGAATTAACTGGTGCTTTAAATGCTCTGTGTATAGCTCTTCTAGTTTTTTTTTTTTTTTAAGATTGCTTCATATTGGGAATTGGGGCTGGGATAAGGAATAAGGGAAATACCAGGAGCCTATGGAACTGTATCATAAAATGATAATTATAATAAAAATAATAAAATGTAAAATGTGAAAAAAAGATTGCTTCATATATGTGTGTGTATTCACAATCAAGACAAAACACCACATTGCATGTATTTTTAACATGCATGAATGTTATCATATTGTATTAGTCTTCTGGGGCTGCCATAGCAAAGTAGACAAATTCTGGATGGCTTAAACCACAAAGACAGTTCTCACAGATCTCCCCACGGTGTTAGGGCTCCAGCCCGTGAACCTGATGGAGGGCAGAGGGAGGACATACTTGAGTCTGCAGCACATGTTGGACAGCATGTTTTTCTATATCTTTGTTCTAAAACTCAACTGTATGTGTTTTAATTCTACTTGCATTGCTATACTGAGATCTGTGTTATTCAGTCTCATTGTGCCCTGTTCTATCATACGAGTAACATGATTCTATTTAACTACTTCTTTATTGTTGAAATCACTGCCACCCCCATTTTTACATCTTCAAACAGCTTTCACTACAGACAATAGGCCTGTAAATATCCCCCATATACGCATATATGCATTGTTTTTAATTTAATCTTTCCAGGTGCTACAGTGTTGTTTTCCTTGTGCATGGATAGGTTGATTTTACTCTCATCAGTATTGCTGTGTCCCACTGGGTAGTCCCTGTCCAATGAATTTAGATTTAGTCATCTGTATTTCATAGTAGTTTTTGCCAGTTTGACAAAAATGCAATCTCATCATGCTCATGAGCTTTTAGGAAGATAGGCAATTCTTCACGTATTTTTATTGCCTGTTCTAGTAGGAATCTGTTGAGTTTGTGTCTTTTTGCGGTTCTTTTGTTTTTAATGAGATCTGAATATTGCTTGCTATAAATATTGTAAAGATCATCTCAGAGTTCACTGTTCCTTTTTTTTGCATTACTACCAGCAATGTGTAAGGGCTGAAGCTGCTCCACCTCCTTTCCAACACCTTATGTTGTGGGCACATTGTATATGTTGTTATTTTAATGTATTGGCTGATTATATTGAATACTTTCATGTATTTACTGGCTTTTTATATCGTCTTTAGTAGAATGCTCACATCTTTTGCCCAGTTTTTAAAAATCAGCTCCTGGTTCCTGGCTTCCGCTTAGTGTAGCCCTAACTGTTGGAGCCATCTGGGGAGTGAACCAGAGAATGAAAGATCAGTCTCTCTGTGTGTCCCTTCTCCTTTGTCTTTCTCTCTTCTCTTCTTCTCAGTCTCTGTCTCTCTCTAACTCTGATTTTCAAATAAAAGTTAAAAAAAGTAAATCTTAAAAAGAAAATTAAAGAGCCAAGCAGTAGACTGTCACCATTAACTTAACGAAACCTCATGTTAAGCACTTACCATGAAATGTTTTTTGATATGATGTTGACTTCTCAACTGTAAGTTTCCATTGACATATCATGATTTGTTTTGAAATCATCTCACTTCATGTAATCACAGCTTGGTGCCAAACAATATGCAGCTATTGCTGTAGGATCCACCGTCAAAGCACCTGCTGCAGTCAGCGACTCTTTCCTGGACCTGCAAGCGTATGGCCGACAGGTAAGTAGATAAGGTGACACAAATCTCACTTCCTTCTAGAGCGTTGCGTAGCAGAGCAGCACCTGTAGATACGTTTCTTTGGAAATGAGACTGTAAGTTTAATTCCAGCAGAGATTGAAAGGGAGTTTCAGTGAGCCTTCAGAGTGCATTGAAATTGCAGCTGACCCTGGATAATGGAACTAATAACTTCTCATACACATAAGACGATTTAAATTGCTGAAGTTGAAATGCCCATTTTATTGAAAAGGAAAGAAACAATCAAACATATATAACTTGTTACATTTCTGAGTTAAGAGGTGGCAGAAGAATGTCAAATGCTTCAATCTCAATTCTTCATTCTTTGAAGTGGTCATAGAATTGGACAGCGCATGGTTGCCAACTGACATAACAGTTTAATGTTTTTATTTACGTTTATAACTAACACATTAATAGTTTCCTAAAATTTTATGAGTTTATATGGTAGACTCATGCAATTCCTGGCTCCTGTGGTGGGCATTTGGGAAATGAGCCAGCTGTTGGGAAATTACTCTACTTTTATTTTTTTTCTTCATCACTCTGCTTTTCAAGTGAATAAATCTTGAGGAAGAAAAAAATTGAAAGAATTTTAGTTCTAGGCTGTAGAAAAAATACCTTTACTTCATCATTTTCTTTTTAAACTGTTTATCTATTTATTTGCTTACTCAGTTATTTGAAAGGCAGAGCAAGAGAAAGACCTTCCATCTGTTGGTTCACATACCAAAGAGTAGTAACAGCTAGACCTGGGGTAAGCCAAACCAGGAGCCAGGAATTTGATTTTAATCTCCCTTATGGTGACAAGAGCCCAAATACTTGAGCCATCTTCTGCTGCCCTCCCAAGAATATTAGCCAGATATTACAGGCTGCTAGTGTTCAAAGTGGCAACTTAACATACTATACCACAACACTGGCCCATAAATATTCTTATGAAAATGAAGTAAGATGCGTTGATAATAATTTGTGGTACACAGTTAAAAGGTTAGATAAGGTCAGTTTATGAAAATCATTATCATAAATGTATGGTATGTGCATTTCTTTTTGTATGTGTTATACTTCAATAAAAAGGTTAAATGAAGGAGTTGGTATAAGCTATCTAACCTTCAGTTTGTTTTCTGAGACAAACATTTCCAGGATTAACTTTGAAAATTGTTTTGTTGTCAGCCAACCTGGTGCTATTCAAAGTATATAGAAGCCCTCGAACAGGAGAGAATTCTTCTTAAAGTTCAAGAAGAATTAGAAAAGAAGTTGTTCTCAGGTAAATTTTTTTTTTCTTGCAGGATTGCTTTTTTATCTTCTATCGCAGGTTGGTTTTTGAGAACTTTGTCAATGATTATTTCACTGTGCTTCTTATTTTTTGTACAGGATCACCATCTCTCACAAATTTTAGGTCGACTGGTTCAGCTATGTCTTTGAAGAAGAATCTGTCTTCCCACACCACCCAGAGTGAGTTTCCAGCGAGAGTCTATCTTCAGTTATTTCTCCTTTATTCTTGGAGTTCTTCCTCTCACGTGGCCATCTGGAATTTAATGGGAGCTAATTTTCCCTAACTTCTCTGGACCCTATTTTGGGGTAAATACAGGGTGTGTGTGTGTGTGTTTCCCTATCCTGTCTCTATCTCCTCTCTTCTGTTGAAGAGGGAAGACCAATATAATCCCTGAAATGTCACCTCTCTTGAAGAGTGACACGATTCATGTGCGTGTAGATCCTGCTGCCATATTCTAACTGTTGGTCCCATCATGATCTTTTAACACACATACTTGTGAGCAACAACCCCCCCCCCAACACACAAGCATACATATACTTTTATGCTCTGCTAACAAACTGGTAATAGGAGGAGAACTTGTCTCTGTTTTGAATGCTCCAGTCTGCTGAGAAGTAATGCCTCTGGAAAAGAATTTTATAAGTGGAAAAAAAAAATAAGACCTCTGGAAAGTAGTCATTTATTGTTTCTGTATACTACTTGTCTAATCTTCCCCTCCATTAAAAAAAATGTATGAAAGAATGCTATCTAGCTCAGTTTTCCTAAATTGGGAATTTAAGAAAGAACTGAAAATAAAATAAGTAATAATTCAACTGATGCCCTTCCACTATCAAGTTCCTGACGTGAATATTCAGGGAGGAGTAACAGGTGGGCGTGGGATACGCGCTTTGTCAAGGGATGTGAGCACTACATGCATCTTGACCCCCCAGGCCACATGCCTGCCCCAACACCTGCCTTTTCTTTTCTTCCCAGTTTACTCTAGCTGATGCATGCCCCGCTCTACTAGTTCCTGTTCCTCCCCAAAGCTCCAACATTTAGGATATGCTAATACAGTTGTTCACCTTCTCGATCCTCATGTGAGGTTTTGTTGTGGTTGTTTCCGATTTATGTTTTCCATAAATGATTATGCTTTTCTTCATTTGTTTTTCTTTTTCAGGAATGTTGTCAAATGCAAGTTAACTGACATGAGAAGCTCAAGTGGTTTTTTTTTTTCTGATAATCAGCATTAAACCAGGCCTTGCATCTTAATAAAGTTTGGTTTGCTTTACTTCTATGGTTTTAAAATTAAAGCTGGTGTATACATGTGCTATGCCAGTATGTAAAAATTAAGTGACCACTGCCTAGATTGGAAAAATTATAAGATTTGCTTATTATAGTTCTTCAGGAAATATATGAAGTAGTCATCAAACAAATATTCTTTGAACATCTACTCTATTTGGGTAGCAAATATATTCAAGCAGCTGTGGGACAGATATCCTAGGAATAAATCAACCCAAAGCACAAAGAGGAAATGCTTTCCCACACTTCACGTCCAAGCCTACAGCATTAGTTCTCACACTTCAGTGTGCATAAGGCTCATTTGTGACATTTGCTAGCCATGTAGGGTTCGAGGTCCTGGGTCCACTCCCCAGGAATTTAATTCAGTAACTCATGAGCTGTACATGTGGAAAGCAAACACACTTACTCTCCATGGTTTTTCTGGAGGGAAAGAGCAAAGTGGGAGAAATGACCTGGGAAGCCCATTAATGGGCCTCCAGACTCAGAACTCCACAAACTGTAACCTGGGTTATCAGATTAGGTTTCTAGTTTGTGTAGTACCAGAAGCTTTCTCAGAGTAGCGATAGCCATTGCAAAATCTCTTAAAAAAAAAAAAGTAGACATTTTTAATGGGAGAAGTTTCAGGAGACATGTTTTAGAGATCTTTCTTCTGAAGTAATTAGTTTTAGAACTTGTTTTAAAATCATTCAAGTCTTGTAATTTTCTCATGTTCCCACCTCTGTGGCCATGGAGTTTGTGATATTTCTCAGTGTCCTTGATCTTCATTTCTCTTTTTATTTTCCACTTGAATCCCTTCCTGAATTTTAGATGAACAATTTAAAGGTTCCAATTTCTTTCCGTCAATTTGCTTATCAGTTATACTTACTTTTAAAAATTTCTTAGAGGTTGTGCTAGAGTTTGCAATACTCACAACTAGTAAAAGTCTACTTTGGAATAACTGTAGTGCTGTATGGATAGTGCAAGCACTTTGTAGTAATATTCCCAGCTCCTCCGTCCTATCCCTTATTACCTGGCTGTCATTCATTTCACTTCTCCAGAAGATACACTGAATACATTGCTGCGTTATATTGACTAAAATATTATCAGATTAGTCCTGAATAAGACACAGATTGTCATTTTCTCTTCACTGAATCCTCCTCTAGTGCTCTTTCTTTACATGAATCTGAGTTTCTGCCTTGTACGATTTTCCTTTACTCTGAAGAACTTCCTTTCATGTATGTTGCAGGGCAGGCCTCCTGGAGACAAATATGAACTCTAGTTTTATGTAAAAAGCTTTTCTTTATCATTCACTTTTTTTTTAAAGATTTATTTTTATTATTTTTTCATTGGAAAGGTGTATATACAGAGAGGAGAGACAGAGAGGAAGATCTTCCGTCCGATGATTCACTCCCCAAGTGAGCGCAACGGGCCGATACTATGCCAATCCGAAGCCAGGAGCCTCTTCCGGGTCTCCCATGTGGGTGCAGGGTCCCAAAGCTTTGGGCTGTCCTCAACTGCTTTCCCAGGCCACAGGCAGGGAGTTGGAAGGGAAGCAGGGCTGCTGGGATTAGAACCGGCGCCCATATGGGATTCCGGGCGTGCAAGGCGAGGACCTTTAACCACTTGTGCCACCACGCCGGGCCCTATCATTCACTTTTGAAGAGTAATTTTGCTGTGAACAGAACTCTGAATTAGCATTTTTTTTTTCTTTCAGTGCTTAAAGTGTCTCCCACTCCTCACCTCTTGCTTGCATAGTTGTGGGAGAGAAGTCACGTGTGACATTTTCCTTTGCTCCTCTGTCCGTGCTTTGTTTCACTCCTTCCCTCCGTCTTTGATTTCCTGAAGTGAAACATGAACACGATATTCCTATTGAGGATTATTGGCATTTCTTCTTTGATATTCTCTGAACAGCCTCGGTCTCTATGTGGTGTCAGACATTAGTTTTTGGAAAATTCTATCATTGTTACTTCAGATATTTCTCTCCTCTTTTTTCTCTTTAAGCCATAGTTCTGGGCTGTTCTGTCTTGTTCTGTTGCTACTTCTCTACCATTCAGTTTTGATCTCTCTTCAAGCTTGAGGATTTGCTCCTCAGCTCTGTCTAGTCCGATGATGAAGCCATCAGGGGCATTCTTCACTTCTGTTAGTGTTGTTTTTGATTTCTAGTACTTCCACATTCCATCTCTATGCTAACAGTACTCCTCTGTTCTTATGCATGGTCTGCTTTTTTTTTATTATTATAATTCTTAAACATGTTCATCATAGTTATTTTAAACATTTGGCCTAATAATTCTGACATCTCTGCCATACCTGAATCTAGTTCTGATGCTTGCTCTTCTCTTTTTGGACTGATGTGTATGTACTTTTTTCATCATAATTCTAATTGAAAGTAAGACATTATATATCATAGTACAGGAGCTGAAGTAGATGTGGCGTTAGTATGAGATGATATGTTTATCTGGTTAGGATGTGGATGAGATGTTCTTGCTGATGGGATGTTAGAAGCTGACATTTACTCTGGGCCCTTACCTTTGTCTCTCCTGTTGTTTTGAGGTTCTTCTCGACACTCCTTAATAGGACCTGAAGTTTGAAGTTCCTTTATTTGTGATCCCTGGTATTACATGGAAGCTCTGCTGAAGTAATGTTCAGGGACGGGGAGAAGAAAGGGAGGCTGTCGTTGTGCTACCTTTAGTCCTCAGTGTCACAATGGTCCTGAATTAGATATTTCCTTCCCCTGGGTTGTATAAGCTTCATTAAAATCTTCTTTTATCAGAATCTGGTAAAATGTTTTCAACATAGGCCCTATCAAAGAGAACAGGCAAATCTAGATGTATTTTAGAATGTCATAAGGGCTACTCTACTCCTCCACTCTACCAGAAGCAGGAAAGGGTTTTTCTCTGGTTTTCACAGAAGCACCTGCTGAGCCTCCTGAAGCTAAAATGAAAGAAAGGAGGAGGGTTCCCCTCAAACTCCAGGTCTCCTCAGAGTGTGTAAGGCTCAAGCCAGTGTGCACTGCCTCTGCCAACTGGATAACGTTTTGAGCGTTCCTACAGATACTGCTCCAGCTGCAGGTTTCTCTCCCCAGTAGACTGTCATTCTTTGCAAGTGCTTGTCCCTCTCTTGTCCAGCTTTGGGGATAGCAGTTGGCTTATCACAATAAATCTTTTCTGGATCAAAGTTATGGATTGTCCATGTGTCTGCCTGCCTTTTTGTTTTGAGGATGGTAGTGCTGACTTCTAAGACCCTTACCTATTGGACTAGGGTCTGTCCTCCACATTGTAGGGTATTTATTAGTGTGCTTAGCCTGCATCCACACTTCCTAGAAGCACGGCCTCAATGTAGAAAGGTTTTTGGGGTTTTTTTTTTTGCCAATTCATTCCTAGCTGTAAGAACTCTAAGGCATTTGAATGTTTTATTTTTAAATCTCTGATTATAATAGAAACTTTCAATTCTATTTTCCTAGATTTTATCTCTGAAATGTCATTACTTCCTAGTTCTGTAACACTGCAATACTAACTTCTAACCAATGAGGACTCATTTTAGTATTTGCGATACTATTATTATTATCTGAATAATTTTTGTTCTTTTACATCATCCTTAGAAGTATAATGCCTTAAGGAAATTATCAACCAGTTTGTTGAATTCATAAAACTTAAATTCCTTACTAATATTGAATGTAGCATATACTGTATTTTGATAATCTTAAAAGTGTTCATAAATCTGATTTGCATGTATACATATAAATAAATTCCAATTATGTTATATTTTTGCATCACATGTGCTTCTTGATTTTTGACGTTCTCATTTTTAAAAGAAGTGTCCTAGGTTTTAAAAGCACACTTACTACTTACATGCACCATGTTAATTTGTACCCTTCAAAATATGGGAAAAAATGAACTCATGCTAGTTTGTTTATAATATTATTTGGGGTACATAAATGTATTTTGAAGTAAGTTTCATAGTGAAGTAATCTAAAAGCCATTTGACCAGTTACTTTCTAAAAGGCAAACTTAGCTGTAACTTAATTCACATCGGGTTTTTTTTTTTAAGATTTTATTTATTGGGAAGTCAGATATACAGAGAGGAGGAGGGACAGAGAGGAAGATCTTCTGTCCGATGATTCACTCCTTAAGTTAGCGCAACGGCCGATGCTATGCCGATCTGAAGCCAGGATCCAGGAACTTCTTCCAGGTCTCCTACACGGGTGCAAGGTCCCAAGGCTTTGGGCCATCCTCGACTGCTTTCCCAGGCCACAGGCAGGAAGCTAGATGGGAAGTGGGGCTGCCGGGATTAGAACCGGCGCCCATATGGGATCCCGGGCGTGTTCAAGGTGAGGACTTTAGCCGCTAGGCCACACCACCAGGCCCCACATCATGTTTTTTAAATGTACTTTTTCACTTATCATTTGAAAATGATGTCATGCAATATGGGTATAAGTGTGCTTTCTTTTTTAAAGCCAGCATACTCTTCAAAAGTCACAATGATTTTTTTTTTTTTTTGCTGATTCAGAGATTTAGCAGCTGATGTATGTCCAGTTATTCAGTAGAATTTGGTTCTGTTTCTGAATATGTTTGTGACTTTGTAATTTGGGGCAATATAGTTAGTCTCCTCAAGTCTTAGTTTACTTACATAGAAGGAACTCAGAGTTTCTTGTGAGATGTTATTTGTGATTCTGTGACTTTGTAATATTAGAGCTATTTAATGTATCACTGTCTAGAAAGTTTTGAGGCAGTCTTCAATGATCAGGTTTTTTTTTTATATTTTGAATGAAAACCTTAGATAAAAGATGAAAAGACAAATTCCACTGCAGTACTTAATTTCTAGAGTCAAATACTTAATGTGTTTCCTGACTTGAAAGAGTTACTATTTTAGCAACCCCTCCTTCATTATTTTGACCATAAAATAGATGTTATGCATCTGGTAAGAATGTGACAATCAGTGCTGATCTTAGGTAGCAGTCTCCGTCCTTACCGCCATTGGGACAGAGTGCTGATTCCCA